TTTCTTTTGTTAGGGATATACATCAAATGCACCACATAATAAGGACACAAAAATTTATTACAAAATTTATGATGCCATTCAATTACTGAAACAACAAAAAACAAAAAAAGAAATTATTTTAATATAATTGGAATAGTCCCAATGCAGCTCAGCCTTCGGAAAGGCGGTCATGTGGCCGCGGTCAGCCCATAACCGCCTCTGATTGGGCCGCCGGCGGGGGCACCACACCAATCACACGTGTCCTCTTTCTATTGCCTTTCGGCCTTATGCACACCATTTCCCCGCACGTGACGTGTGTGTGCTTAGGTTTTTCTTTTCGATATTTGTTGTTATTCTTATTACTAGTATTTTATTCACACCATTAAATTGGGGATTATGAAATTACCACAATATAAATTGTTTCGGAGCTTGTTTAGATATAAATATATCCACTTAAAATGTATTTTAGCCAAAGTTAATTTTTAAAAATATAGTATAGTTATTTATTAGTGAGATTTTGAGTGTATATTAAATAATATTTTAAATAAAATAATTAAAGTTAATTTGATTTAAAAGTATGAGAGATTATGAAGTCATGTTCAGTCAAAATTACATTAGAATCACTTGATTTTTTATTTTTTGTTAGAATCATTAATTTCATCAGATAATCATCTCTAATATAAGAAAAAATAAATTATATGAGTTTTAAATTTATCGCAATTACTTACTGATTCGGTGCCGTAAATGAAATTAGATTTAAAACCGAGCTTTGAAACTTTACGACTTGGTTGAGTTCGGGAAGTGATCAATGGTCAAACTAATTATTTCTCGATTCTAGGATGGTTCACTTCAATATCGGACATGATTCAATAATCTCAACTCTAATTGTCCATATACAAAAAACGAGCATGTTTCCTATTTCGTCGTATAATTAACAATCAAACACGAGTACAACAATTACTAATTTTATCCTATGTATATATGAGATGGACATGAAATAAAACAGTCATTTCAAAGTGTAACATCCCAAACAAACATCATAAATTGGCCTATACATTTTAGTTAAAAACCATATTGTCAAATCACTATACTACAATTTGCAATTGACTACTCTACCAATAGAGTTTAAGAGCATCTTCAAGAGCCTCCCTATTTCTCTTTTTTATCTCAAAAATAGAGATTTTCTCTCAAAAACTGTCTCCAACAGTTCCCCTAAACTTGGTCTTATTTTTAGGGTGACCTCAAATAGAGGCTTCTCTTCCTCATTTCTGGGAAGGAAAAAACGACCCCCCATTTCAGATAATAATAATAATAATAATAATAATAATAATAATAATAATAATAATAATAATTTAAAAAGAAATAATATTATATTAATACATGAAAAATATAACAAATAATTAATAATAAATTACTAATAATAATAATTAAAATTAAAAAATTAAAAAAATAAAAATTGTTCAATAAAATAATTTATTTGATTAAAAATTAATAAATTATAATAACAATTAGTATAATAATAATAATAATCTAAAAAGAAATAATATTATATTAATAAAGGAAAAATTATAAAAAATAATTAATTCTAATTATAATAATTAAAAAAATTAGTGAATATTATAAAATTAGTTAATTACTATTATAATCGTTAACAATTACAATATCAAGTGGGCTTCAAGTGGGCTTTTAGATAGATTTGTGGGCCTGGTTCATATTCAAATTATAAAATAGGGAGACTCTTGGAGAACAACAGAAAATAGGAAGCAAATGGATATAGGATGACTCATTATTTCTCCAAATAAGAAGTCTAAAATAAGAAGTCTCTTGGAGATGCTCTAATAGGGCATAAGGTGAAGAGAGGCACTTTTTATTTCTAGACAATCCCTTTAGGGGTCGTTTACTTCGCAGGACAGGGATTGGCCTATTTAATCCCATCTCAATTCCACATCAGCACCAAACCCACGTTTACTAACAATTGTGATTTAGATGCAATCCCAATCATGTATTTACTACACATGATAAATATATCTGATGTGGATTTAAAAGACTTATATACCCTCATCTTTTGTGTTTTCTTATCTTGCCCTAAAATGTGAAATCGACTGCATCAAATGTTTGTCGTGTGTTCTTCATTTTTCCCGACTGCATCTTCCCATTTGACGGAGCTTTTCGCCAGAAATTTGTAGCCGACCACAGCATCTTGAGCTTCAAACTTGGCCGCCGACAGTTGCGTGTGAACAGGATGACGCCGATGACGACCACACAGTAATTCATGCCTTATCATTCGGCCTTAAATCGTGCCCTAAATCGAAGAACATCAATTTTCAGGTGAATTCAGTGAGACAGAGCAAGAGGACAGTAAGTTTAGCATTTGAGAAGTTCAACACCTTTTTCCCTTCCCATTCAGCTTCACTATCATTCGGACCTAAATCCACATGTGCCCTAATCTGAATATGTCATGTTTATCATTCGGCCATAAATATGTTATTCTTATGTTGTTCTTGAAGCTATATTAGGCCTTGTGTGTCTAAGTTGTTATTCATATTGAAAGCCTTCTTGCTATCACTGAAGGAAAATTTGATGTTGCTTTAATCTTGGATAATTTGCCTTCTTGTATGTTATTGTTAGATAATTTGTTGTTGCTTTAATCTTGGTTGTTCTTTTTTTGCTAGTTGTCTTAGTCTTGGATTTTTGTTCCTTCAAGCTGTTTGTTTAGATTCTGTGGTTAGTAGTATTGGGCTTTTTTAAGAGTTTCATGATTTTTGTTTACAGAGTCTGTTGCTTTTTGTTTGCGCTCGGAAGTTTATGCTAAGTCTGGCTACTTTTTCGTTTTTTGTCTTCTGAGATTGTTGAAATTTGTATGTATTTCAAGTTATGACAA